GTGGGTTCAACTGAGAATGGTAGATAGTGAAAGAAATAAGAATGATTATGTGCCATTAGATCCAATATATCAATGGACATGATCAATTCAACATTGGTCAATCATTAATGACATTATGGTAAATTAACTTACACAATGTGGTCAAAATTATATATTTGACCTCTAATTAAGGATATTTTAGTCATTATACAACAAAATCTAATCACAAGTGGACTCCACCCCAACTACCTACCCTAATTACTATTTCCACCCACTCACACACACAAACACACAATAACACTACGCATATACCCTGCCCGCACATATACACACACAAAAATTCCGGCAGCCACCTACCCACACCACCTCAGCCGCCGGAATTCTTCAGGCGTCGCCAATCCACCGCTTTCTATGCCCGAACATGTCGTATCCACCTACTCGACGGCGATGCTCGCTTCTTCTCCCGCCGTCGAGTTGCAGTCACCGGGTCGTCGCCGCCGCCTCGTGGTAGTCACCGCATCGCCATCGCCTCGTTTCAGTCACCGCTCTCAATTGTCGACCCCGAGAGAAGGGCTCCACCTTCGGCGAACCTTCAGATCCGTTTGTCACTGCCCCTGCCTAGAGTCGCCGATATCGCGTCGCCATCGCCATCGCCGTCCTTCCCGTCACCTACACAAAATCGGCGAGCTCTGAGGATTAAACGACCGACCTTATTTTTTATTATTATTATTTTTTTTATGAAGTCGCCGGGATGCTACCGGCGGGATGTGGCGGCGTGGGGTGTTGGGCTAAGAAGACGGCGACGTGTGACCATAGCGGAGGTGTCTGGACGGGAGGTGGACAGTGGGTGGATTTGATTTGGAATTGTGGGGTTAGGTTTTGGAAATTTGATATGTTGTATGGGCTCAATTGTAATTTTTTAAGTTTAATTTATTTCAATTGGACAATTGTGGCAAATCTGTAATATATTAAAAGTTTAGTTATTGCATGATAATGTTATACAAATTGCACATGATTACATGATAACGTGCACATTAAAAATACCACCATATTTTTTTTTACGAAATCATATATTTTCTGATATTGTGCATTTTGATTGTCATAAATGTACAAATTGTTTAACTATATTGTACAATCGCCATCGGTCAGACACTAATTTGCAACCTGTATAACACTAAGGTGCAATCCGTATAACACTAAGGTGCAATCTGACAGTCATTAATATGCAATCAAACTAACATTAATGTGCATTCCAAGTGCACTTATTTTTTTTGTACACAAATATATTTTGTATTTGTAATATTTTCGCTTATACCTTATATTGTTGTTTTATGAAAATAAATAATATATATATATATATATATAGATAGATAAAATATATTTTTTTTTCCTGTATAGTTCGGTTGGTTCTATATATTTGTATTGTTAACCTAAATGGCAAAAATAATATTCTTCGTTGGAAAAGATAGATTAAACGTGTATTCGGTTGGCGTCGATATTTTTTGAAAAAATGATCACTAGTATATTGTTAATTGGTTGGAGTCGATATTTTGATATTTTGATGTGTTTACAACTTAGGTCATTGGTGAAATTTATAATTTATATAAATTTCAATACTTGCATATTAATGTTATGTAAATTGCACTGTAATGATAATTACATTGCACATTAATGTTATATAAAGTGCACTTTAATATTTTTCTCTAACCTTTTTATTTATTTTGATTGAAAAAATAATTTTTATTTATAAAAAGAAATATAAAAAAAGGTTTGGATGGTTATCAAATGCGATTTTGTGCAATTCAATTAATATTATTGTATGGTTATCAAAGTTTGGATAAATTAGAATTTTGACCCATGAACTAAATTGGAATTTATTAAAAATCACGAATTTACAATTGAGTCCCTGGATATTATCAAATTCTCAAACAATCACCCAGGCCAATTTCATGTTCTCAGATCTCATAATTCAACAATAATCCACCGCGCGCGTAGCACCTGCCGGATGCCGTCGTCGAGTTCATCCGCCGGAGCGTGAGAGGAAGAAGTCGGGAGTCGGACGTTGATTTTGATGGGTCGGAGTGGCCGGACGTTGGTGAGTTTTGTCGATTGGTCTTCAGTTTCAGGCATTCTCTATTCCGGCGGATTGAGTACAGCCGTTCTCGTTCGTCTATATCCTTGGTCGGGATTGGCGGCTACCGGTGAGCTTGGCTTCAGGGGTTAAATCTTGGCCGGAGGCGGTAGTCCCCGAGGTTAACGGCGGAAGAGGGTGGCGACGGTTGAGACGTTGGATGAGGTATCTGACGGCTGGCGATGGATCGATGGCCGAGCTTTACCGGCGGGAGTGCAAGTGTGCGGCGGTGTGTGTTGGTGTTTGTGTGAGAGAGAGACAAAAAGCGTGTGTTGTGACTTGTGCATGGTCGTGGGGTGGGGTGGGTAGGCGATAGTTGGCAGCTTGCAGGAAATTAATTAGGGGTGGGGTCCACTACTTTGTGTGTAGTGTAGACAATTACCATAATATTCTTAATGAAGATTTAATTTTGCCTTTTTTTGTTCGCCGTTGGATGATCCGATCCAATGGCTATGATGTATTCTTATTTCTTTCACTGAGTACTATTCTCACCGGAGCGCGACTATATATATATATATATTGTTCGCCGCGGGCCGCGACGTAGTCCGTGGCCGCGACTTGGTTCTGCGCCTCAAAACCCGCGGCCTCGGCGTGATCTCGCGGCCGCGGACCATTTCATCGCCGCGACCATCACAAGTCCTGCGGCCGCGCATTACTTTTGCACCTCAAGACTCGCGGCCACAGAGGATACTTGCGTCTGTGGAGCATTTCATCGCCGCAGTCCGCGGAGATACCTGCGGCCGCGGAGGTCGCGTTTTAAACAACCCTTTGAGCAGAATTAGGGCATTATTCTCAGAATCTCATTTTCCCTCAAAAGCCCCGGCGATTCTCGTTCAACCTCCCTCAAATATCAAATTCAACATATCCTCTCTAAATCCTTGCAAATTTTCAGAAATCCGTTCTTCCACTCCAAATTCCTCATGCCGGCGTCCTCGAGGAAGGGTTTTTTGGAGCAGTTGGAGTTGAATTTGAAAACCCTAGGGTCGTCTTCTCCGGCCAGCAACTCTCTCCGGCACCTTCTCCGACAACAGTTCTCACCGGCGTCCATCCTCTCCGGCCACGAACAGCAACCAAGCCGACCAACCCTCCACCACCCCATCATCTTCACGTTCCACACCACAACTTCGAAGTGCAACCGAGAGCCGACTTCCGATAATTCGAGTTTTGCGTTTTTTCTGACGAATAGCTTAAATTGTGGAGGTTTGTTTGGTGAAGGCTTTCAATCGAAGTGAGCTTATAGCGTTTGGTTCACCATTTTTGTGTTGATACAAGCTTCAACTTCAAGCTCTTGCTCACAAGGTGTTTGGTAAATTGCCTCAAAGCCATGGTTAAAGCATCGAGACATAATGTGAAAGCGAATACCGCTCAAGGCGAACCCTCTAAAAGCGGGAACCGAAAATTGGCCGAATCCTCAGACCAAGGGGACCGTGCTGCTCCTCAAGGAAGCGAACGGTCGAATCTTCGATAACAGTACGGTGTTTCGTTCCCGATTTTCTCGAGGAAGGGGGGCGACATATATTCCCGTCTCTCGCAGAAGGAGCTGGTGAGGCCAAGGGGATTGGTTGGAACATTTCCAGATATTTGGGAATCATTAAAAGTACCTGAAGGTGCTAAACCTAACAAACTTTGCCCAGATCGAAGAGCCATCGTATAGAAGCCTTATGCTCGAGTTCTTTAGCACGTTCGTGCTTGCCGATGGGAATGAGTATTTCACTTGCCAGCTTTGGGGGAAATACGTTTAGGTAGACAATACTGTGATGAAGAAGGTCTTTGGGTTCAACATATACGGCAAGAGAAGCAAACCAACAAATTTTAACGCCAAGAAGAGTTGGGCCGAGCTTTTCCCTCATACATCTTGGGAGTCACGCGGCATGTCGAACGGGCTCATTCAAGACTTAGCCACAGCCGTTGTGCACAAGTTCATATGCTATAACATCTCTGGGAAAAAGGAGGCGAACAAAGTTAGTGAAACCGAGCTCTATCTCTTATGGGCGATGCGTGCAGGAGTGAAGGTGTGTTCTATGACCTTCTTGCAAGACTCTCTACAAGAGGTTGCACTTAATCTACGTTCAGCGTCGGCACTTGGGCATGTGGTTACCGCACTAACCAAACATTTTAGAATTCCTACTCAAGCCGTCCGTATCGATCCGGCGTGCTCGTTGGAGGGCACTCTAATGCAGTGCATTAATGAGCATGAGCTCCAGCAGTCTGACCTCATAAAGAATCGAACCACCGCTCAGGTGTACACGAAGCGGAAGGCCTACAAGGCCTATTTCAAGAAACTCAAGGAGAGTGCGGCGGCTAACACTGATCAGGCAGGATCATCTCGACAATCGTCGAACGAAGACAAACGGCCATCTTCTTCCACCACCACCTAACCGGGAACCAGCACCAAACCCGCAACCCGAGGGTCCACCATAGCAACCGCCAGAATGGTGGGAAACGTACCAATACCAATGGACCTCATTCCAAACCTAGTATGCGGCCGACATCCGATCCATTCACACCCGGTTTGATACTCAAGATAGTAGGTGAGCCATCTTGGAGAGCCGACAGAACACTCAGTGGGCCAGTCGGGAGAACCAGCAGAAGACTCAGTGGGATCATTGGGAGACCTAGCAGCAGAACCAGTTGACTCAAATGGGCTCAAGTTTCGACAACTTCAATGACAGTTTCCAGTCTATTCGCGAGTGCCAGGATCAGCAAGATGAACGTATGGACCACTGGGATAAGATATTCACCCAGTGGGATACCCATTGGGGCTCGGGATCCAGTACCCCTTATTCTCCACGGCCACCGCCGAACGCACAGTGACTTGTTACTGTGCTTTGTACGTTTTTCTTTCTCTTTCTCTTTTGTTTTGTATAGTTTATTTTATTTTGGAGTCGGTTAATTATGTGGTACAACTCTCTTTCAATAAGGATCGACAATGGGGACATTGTCTGATTTTAAGTGTGGGGAAGTTTTCGCACGTGACTATGTGGTTGACCAGGTGTAGTTTTTCTTATAAGGATTGCTTTTATGTATTTTCTCTTGCTTGGTGGACTGGTCTAGTTTTTAGGATTCATTGTTGTGTCTTTCTGAGTTGGACTTTGGTGTATTGTAAGACTAGTTAATGATTGTTGATTGAGTTGAGAAGTTGTGATGGTGAGCATGAGTGGCATATCTTGATTAATCGGCTTGGTCGTTTTGAGAAACAGCTATTTACCTTGTGAGGTTTGAGCCTATATCGTTTCTTGTGAGACATTGGTCGGAGTACTTGTCAATTAGAATTTTCCTTGAGTCTACTTTGAAATGAACTGATTGGATTTGTGAACGCGAACATGATTGAGGCGTTCCTTGTATTTTCTTTTCCTTTTTCTTTTTCCGAAAATAACATTCACTAGTCACTCCCTTTGAGCCTTATTTAATTTTTATTGATAACCTCGTGACAATGACATTGAAGGTTGAGAATTGGAGGTGACAGTTGATTAGGTTGTGAATATTTCATTTGAATAATAAAACAAAAGTAGAAAAAGAAAAAGAGAAACCAAATGGATTATAAAATGTCCAAAAGGTTCTCACAAAAAAAAAAAGAGGGGAATAATATGCTTGGGAAATGTGTTGGTTTTGGAGTTAGTGGGAGGAACCGGTTGGTGTCGACAACCAGAGGAGTTCAGGATTTGGGTCATGTGATTGAGTAGAGTTGATCTATATTGAGCCACTTAGCCTATATTTATCCTACCCGATCCAAAGAGCCTACGTTACATCCCTTAAAGTCCTCTTGATTCACTGTTTCATGGATTTGATTACTTTAGAGTAGAAGTTAGATGATAGGAAAACTTATGATTGATTTGACTGAAAACCAACTTGAGTGCACCTATCTTATATTTGCGAAAGAAACTGAGTGAGGCACATATGATATACTTTTATACTCGAGAGTTTGTGTTCTTCAAAATAGCCAAGTTAATAGTTGAGGTGTGTTCTTGTGATAATTGGAATTCATCTTGACTTGATTGATTGGCTTGAGATTAGTCTTGCTTGAACCGTTGTCCTTGCTCGTTTGTTTGTTTTCTTTTCTTTTCTTCTCTTTTCTTTTCATTTCTTGTGGGGAAGATTTTTGTCCCCTTTTTGTTTCGTTTTTCACTCTTATTTTACCTTTTTTTCCCCATACTTAGGTAATTCTTTTGGTTTTTGGTCCGTTTTGTGTCTTGTCGTGTGTTTTTCTTTATTTTGTTTGTTTTAGGAGTTCTTGTATGTTTTTCTCCGTCTTTTGCATTTTTCTTGTCATTTGTGGTGTGTAGGTTGGGTGGCTCGATCGGTTATAAAGTGCAAGAAGAAAGGGTTGAGCAGGAAAAGATGGACCCAGCCCGGACGCATTTGTACGAACTAAAAAACTACAACTGCTGATTTCCCTTCACCGCGGCCCGCGACAGACTCCCGCGGCCGCGGGAGTGGCGAAGTTATACTGCTGCCAACATTTCTTCACCGCGGCCCGTGGAGGAAGAGTCGCGGCTGCAGACAAGTACTGCACCAGAAGACTCGCGGCTCGGGCGTAGTCACGACCGTGGAGCGTTTCTTCGCCGCGACCCGAGACCGCGATTTTCCAAATTTGAAAGGCAGTTTCAGATGGCGATTTTGTAGGAAATTTCGAACTCTCTTTTATGAAGGGCGACAAGGGTTAAAAAATGCATTCTTCAGATTTGTTTTTGGTACTTTTTCACTCAAGAACATATTTTTCACTTAGTTTTCATTGGGATTCAACCTTGGAGAGTCAAAACTCCAAGATTTGTCTTTTCGAATTTGGATTGCACGTTGTTTTAGACATTGGGTTTTACATTAATCGTAAGCTTTCCTTTTCATTTTGTCTATGATTATGTTGGATTTGATTGATGTGTATTTCGTTGTTGAATCTATGATGAGTAGCTAAATTCGTTAACTAGGGCTAGGGGATAATTGTTCCGGTTCAATTTCGTTTGCGTGTATGTTGATTGCTCAATCTATACGAGTTCTATTAAACCTAGGGTTGGATGATTGATCACCATCTTAATCTATATATTTGATTTTTAGAACCGAAAGGGGAGGAATCGATCGATCTACGCTCGTTTAGAATAGGCTTGTTCGTAATGGTATTGCCTATGTGTTAATTGATTCGATAATTGTTCGTTTATGTTTATTCTCTTGTTATGTAGAGTTATTGAGGATAAACCTCTAGATGAGTTGGTTTTTCGAGTCCTCTAGCCGAGTAGTTGATTGCCCGATAAGTGTATTGAGAACCAGAAACGATTGCCCCCGACCCCCTAGTCCCATTATCACTATTTGAAGTGTGTTTAAAGTTGTGTGATTGAAATTGCTTAGTTTAAAGTTCGTAGTTGATAATCGAAACCAACAAATTGAATTAGAGTGTTTGGATTTGTTTTCTCTTTTTGTGTGATTGAATATTGTACAAATAATCAGGCTGACCTTCTTTGAGACACGACCCGGTGTTTGAATCTTTCAATTTAACTTCGGTAAAAATAACTACAACAGCATGTTTAAATCTAGTATTTTTCATGGCGGCTTATTATAGTAATGAATTTTACTTGGTCGCATGCGTAATAGTTTAAAGAGATAAAGAGATATAGCTAGCAGTGAGTAGCATCCCGCAAGATAAAAAGTTTTTCGAACAAGGTTCTATGAGTATTCGAAAATTAAATCAGTGTTTTCAAATTATAAAGCTCGAAAAGTTTACTCTGATTTTAGTAATAGTAGACGGGGTGTTATAGTTGGTATCAGAACACAGTTAACAGTTATGTATACCTAAATGTTCTAGAAAGATATGACCACATCACGCTCACACCGCGGCGACTCCAAGGTAAGTCACCTGAACAAGTCTTTATTTTTGCAAATGCAAGATTATTGTAGCAAGAGAACTTAAAGGGCTTATAATTTATCCTTCGATAAGAATTGAGAATTGTAGTCAGAATTCTAGCCAACACTCGAGATTAAGTTCAGAACTCTAGTCAGAATTCTAGAAAGAGCAACTCCGAGTATTCTAGAATAAGTTGAAACTCTAGCAAGCTAAGTTTATTTTCAGCGACTCGTTGCAAAATTTTTTCTAGTAATAAATACTTCATCAATTGCGCAACTCATTTTTCTAATCCCTGTCAATTGGCCATTCAGATGTTTCCTCGTAGAGCAGTCCCGATGCTGCCCGCAGCAGCCTTGCCTACAGCGCCAGAGCGCGACCAGGCCCATTCAGTCTCACAGTTCCGCGTGTTCCACCCGACGACGTTTAACGGGAAAAGAGACCCGAGGATGGTTGATGAGTGGTTGCGTAGCCTCAATTTGATCTTCGAGGTGATCGATTGCCCCGAGCCACATTGGATCATGTGTGCGCAGCTCCAGATGATAGGGGATGCAGGTCTTTGGTGGGTAGCATACTGGGACATGAGGCCCAAAGAGAAGGCAACCCTCACTTGGGTCAATCTGAAGGAGATTCTCCTAGAGAAGTACTACCCAGCGCACTACCGCGAGGCGATGGAGCGCCAGTTTCTGGCCCTGGAACAGGGAGATAGGACAGTGGACGAGTACGAGTACGAGTTCAGTCGCCTCGGTTTCTTTGTCCCCTACCTGATCGCGAACGAGGAGTAGAGGTCCCGCCGCTTTTATAGCGGTCTTCGCGACGAGATTCGCCACCATCTCGCTGCCCACGACCCTCTATCATATGCTGAGACTGTCATTAGGGTTCAGCAAGTCGATGTGAGCTTTGGGTTGGCAGCCAGCCGAGTCTGTCCACCAGTTGCGTAGCTAGTCGATCAGCATCTCGCATTACCAGCTCCACCTCAGCAGGCACCACCTCAATAGGCTCCCAAGCCAAACAAGAGGAAGTTCCAAGGCCGTGATTGGAGAGAAGACAGACGGAGGGGAGAGGCCCCAGCTCAGATAGCCCAGCCACTGCAGCAGGTTCCACCAGCCTGTGTGACATGCGGACGCCCTCACCTAGAAGAGTGCATAGCTGGATAGAACATTTTCTATCACTGCCGCAGGCCCAACCATACAACCTGTACCTGCCTAGACCGTGCCCCGAATCAGCAGAAAGGAGGAGCATAGTTTAGTTAGTTGCATTCATCGTATATCTGCAATCATGACTTATTTTCTGTGAAGTCGTTGGAATCCTGTTTATTTTCCTTTTTTGCGTGTTTTGAGACTCTTCTGAGTCGAAGTTTAAAACCCAAATATGTTGGATGTTTTTCCTATCAGTCCTGATTAAATTCTTATCGCAATCTCTATAATGTTTCAATATTGCAAATGACCAGGTGAAAGTGGAAGATGATCACACCGCTTAAGTGTTTTGCATATGGATGACGAATGAGTTCGGGAGGACGATTTTCTTAGGCACCATACGACCTTGTACGGGCACAAGTGTGAATCGCTGATGTACCAAGAAAGTAATAAAGAGAGAATGAACTAGATCCGAGTCATGGTACGCCCAGAGAAAGTAGGAACTCAGCACCACAGTACCGTGAGGCAACTAGCACGAGATGTGGTTGCGACCTTGCAGCGGCTGTAGGTGAAATAGATAACACAAGTACATCACACACAGGTGCTGCATGCAGGTATGCCACGTCCGAGGGCCCCGGGTGGCTGGTGTGCCGCATTGCTACTTACCGCGTGCAAAGTGCCGCGTAGTCATGTGCCGGAAAGTACGATAGAGAATCAGGAAGTAGTTTTCCCTAAGAGTGAGCAATGACCTTCAAGTAGGTCCTGCTGGTTGTATATCACCAGGTAGAGGCCAAGTGTCCTTACGTCCCCAGGTTCTGGTGGAGTCCCAACGAATTCCATCGGAGTGTGCACCTGATTTACTAGCCAAGTGCCTATAAATCCCAAATTCTGGTGTAGTCCTAGCGATTTCCATCAGAGTGTGCAACTGATTTACTAGCCAAGTGTCTATAAATCCCAGATTCTGGTGGAGTCCCAACGAATTTCATCGGAGTGTGCACCTAATTTACTAGCCAAGTGTTTATAAATCCCATATTCTGGTGGAGTCCCAGCGAATTCCATCTGATTGTGCACCTGATTTTCTAGCCAAGTGTCTATAAATCCCAGATTTTGTTGGACACCCAGCGAATTCCATCAGAGTGTGCACCTGATTTACTAGCCAAGTGCCTATAAATTCCAGATTTTAGAGGTATCCCAGCGAATTCTATCGGAATGTGCACACGATCACCGGCCAAGTGTTCAAGAATTGACAGTGAAGTCCTAGCGTATTTCTTCAATATGGGATCACGATCATCGACTAAGTGTTCGGGAGATGATAGTAACCTCATTTATCTGCCCAGTGTCCGAGGGTTACCAACATATCAGTTTATAGAGTATATGCTCACTTCAGTATCCAGAAAGAGTTAGAAATTTTGAGTCAGAGCCCTAGTCTTGAGTTTTGACTTGTATATGAACATATAGTTGAGTTCGAACTTTTACCTTAGTTTAGCATTTTCGAGGACAGAAATGTTTTAAGGAGGATAGATTGTAACGCCCCGAACATTTTTAGTATTTACTAGTTTTTGTCCCGTGTATTTGCACGGAAAACTATATGATACATGAAAAAATAATAAAAATTATAAACAATAGTAAAAATCATAACAAATTCATTGAAAAAAATTAAGAAAAAAAATATAAATATTCTTAAACACTTCTTTATAAAACAACGTCGTGGTTTTTCTATCGTCAAAATCTCCCTAAGCTCAAATCAAAATCTCCAAACCCCACTGACTCGTAACTCTAAAAAGCGCCACGTATAATTGCTCATGACTAAATGTAGAGCTCTTCAGTAGTAAGCCGACGTGCGACAGAGACTGTCTTTGACTCTTATTGACCATGTCATAGCATAGCAAGCACTTCTTTATATTGTTTGTCCTTGACTCTTATTGATTGATAGAGATTGTCCTTGTTTCTTAATAAAAAAATATCATCTAAATATAAATGAGTAAATATAATATTAATTTTTAATATAAACAAAAAATTTAAAGTAATTGATAATGAGTATAGAATTACCCTTGCGGATTCAAGTTATTTCAACGATGTTCTTTTTATATATCAAAGATTTAATTTTTTTTCTGATTTATATGAATATAAGCACATTTGAATAAAATTTATTGAAAAAAGTTACTATTTTTTTTAAAAACTGATAAGATATTAAGATAATACTGTACTTAACATAAATGTGGAATTAATTAAAATAAATCTTTTTAATTTAGTCATTAACTAATTAAATTTAACTATAAAAAACCTTCTTAAATGTGAGATTAATGAGTAATTAATTAAAAAAAATGTAACTCCTTTTGGAGGGAAAGTGAAAATATTTTTATTAAATGTTTTATTAAATGAGATTAGCTAGCAATTATATATATATAGATGAGCTCAACTTTAGTTCCATAAATAGTAAGTTTTATTTATTTCAAGTCTTATTTTATTTATTTGATGCATTTAATTATTATTATTTGCATTAAATTGGTTTATAAAAATTCTAAGTCTAAGCCATAGAGGATCCTTTTGATTTTTAATTCCAAAAATCGAATTATTCTAGCGTAAGTATCAATTTCATTTTTAATTTGAAACCGAGCCTTAAAAATTTGGGAATTTTATTTTATAAGGGCTAAAGCCCGGACGAGCCGTGCCTCGGCCCAAGTCCATTAAGCCGCGACCCAAGGCCGGCCCAAGCCCAACACCCCCGCCCGAGGCCCAAGGCCCGCAGGCCAAAGACCAAAGCTCGGCCTATGGCCGGGTACCAATTCCAAGCCCAAGCATTTTTTTTCATGAGGCCCAAGTTCCTCTTTAAATCTAATGGCCCAAGTCTTGAATACTAATAAAAAAAAAAAAAAATCAAGACCATTTAATGTATGAAGCCCAACTCTCATTCAATTTATTTAGCCCAAGTATTATTCCAAGAGCCCAAAACTCTTTAAATCCTACGGCCCAATACAAAAATCCTAGGGTTTAAGTCTTGGTCATCAAGATTCAAATTTAAACTTGGTCAAATATCCCAACCACCAAATCTTGTACTTAGGGGACAAAAGTGAAGAAGACAAAAACATTTTTGTACTTCTTGTCCCCTAACCCTAATTTCCTATGCATTTATAAAAGACCATAACTTTTCATTTCATTTTTTTTCCTCTTAATTTTCCCAACATCCTACACTCTCCATATTTTTCTAAGTCCACCAAAAATATTTCCTA